ATCATAATCCTTTAAGTCCACTCCCACACAGCCAAGTGATATGACAGGAGCAATCTGCTGCCTTTCCTACTGCGGGTGTCGTGTCTCTCCCCCACAAGAATGATGAGACCTTCAGAAGACAGCAGACCCACTTTTACGAGTCTTTAAAGTTTTCCCTGTAAACACTGATGACACTCAATAAACAGGTATAACCTCTTTGGCACTTGATTTACACCGTGACAGCTCTACAGCCGAAACTCGAAGAGCGCGAGCTCCGCGGGCCACGTCTTCCCGGGGGCCACTGGGGAATCTTATGCCAAAGCTTTTACTTGGGAAGCGTTGGGCATAACTGGGACCGGTGCAGGCACGACCCACCCAGTAAATCCTCGCAAAGCTTTCACATGAGCACATGGGACGTCTGGCAGGAAAAACAATCAGGACAGACCGATCCCCTCGTCTAAGTGACAATGTTCAGAAAGAGAAAATGCACTAGTCAGTCCACCCCCTTCCCTCCCCGCCCCCCAAAAAAAGAGATTCAGAATCGGTCGTCTTGGTAACCCGAAATAAGAGGGCGGGAGCTCCCACCTCTGCTCCGGGGGCGCAAAGCTTCAGTAACAACAGCCAATGGACAAGACTGCTAACAAGTAATAGGCTCCCAGACGGAAAAACTGATGAATAAATAACGTGGGGAAACGGGGAGGGGGGAGGGGAGGAGAGAAGAGGGGGAGGTCACCACCACCAAGATACAAAGTTTAAAACCTCGCTTTGACCGGTCAAAACCTGAAAGCTTTCACCGGAAAACGGAGAAAACCCGCCCGCGGCTACCTGAGTCCCGCCCGCCCGCTAATGAAGGACCCGCTCTTCCCTTTCGCGTGTGAACACAAGTCTATCCCCGCGGCCGGCCGCGCGCCCAGCCGTCAGTGTGCAAATACAGCGGGAAATAGAGACGTCCTTAAGAAATGAGTCTGAAACTTGACGTAGAGCGGAGGTGACAAGCACAGCCAGCAGAACCATACATTCTAAACGCGCCCGTCTTTCAGGATTCTTTCTCTCTGGTCCCGGACACCAGAAAGAAGACGGTAGAGGAAGAGGGGGTGACGCGGCGGGGGTGGGGGGACGGCCCAGCGGCCCGAGTGGCAGGATGATGCAATGAGGGTGTCTGTGGGACGGGCTCGGGTGCTCGGTGACACACACCTCCATGGCCCCCTTTCGGAAATCGGCATCCTGGAGGATAGCCGAGAGGTGAAGCTGCCGCGCGTGGATGGAGGGAACACGCGCGCCCAGGGTCCGTGGCACCCGGGGAGGCCCTGCCCACGGGTCTCTCCGGTTCACGAGGGAACGGACGCGGCTCGAGGGGCGGGAAAGCCGGGAGCGACCGGGTGGGGGGCGGTGGGATCGGGGCGCAGGGCTCACCTCGGCGTCTC